TTTTCTCCCTCTGTCTTTCTCTCTCTCTCTCTCTCTCTGTCTCTCTCTCGCTCTCTGTCTCTCTCTCTCTCTCTCTACAGGGCGTGGGAAAGGCAGTGGTCCCACTGCTCGCCCTTGCGCGAACGCAAACCCTTCCGTTAACCGTGATGCCTATGGCTCTTGCGTCAGATCGTGTGCAGTCTTGGCTTTGCTGTTGTGGCTGACGGTCTGGTCTTGGGTTCAGCCTTTCGACTCCTCCCAGGATTCAGACTCGAAGCTTGAATCTATAGCTTACCTCTTGCGGTTCAGCCTTCGGCGCTCACACTTGGACTTCCAAGGCAGTTAGGGGCAAAAGGCCGGACCTCGGTGAGTCACATCCTGTATACTACCGAGGGCATAAGCTTGCCGATGAACGTGCTCCCGCTGACGAACGTGGTCGTGTCAGTTGTGGAAACGGCCTCCGTGCTTGGAACTTATCACGACAAAGAAGCTACAGTTCTCACCAATCCCGTGCACAGGAGGGCTTCGTCTGCGACGTGTGCTCCGTTGGGTCGAGGGCACCTCAGTTTTGAGGGGCGCTGCAGTGGGAAACCTAGATCCTTTGATCTGGCGAACCTGTCAAAGATTGTGAAAGCTAGATGGTTGCCCTTTGGGCAACACGGGAATTCACGACATCTGTCTTCCGGCAGGTCTGTGGCACTATCCCGAGGTCCTAAAGGAATCCGCAAGAATCGAAACCAAACTCTTCGCAAAACCCTCCTAAGCCAAGCAGTCACGTCCGCGTGCTTTCACATCGAACTGGATACCAGTCACGGCCTCGCTGGCGGTCCAGAGCAACTCCTGGGCTTCCTCGTCGGCAAAAGGCTCCGGCTTCAGAAGCCCCACTCGGCCTTTGCGTTCGCCGTTGTCGTAGGTTCCGGTGCCTCCGCCTTTGCCTAAAGGGCCATAGAAATCGCCTGAGTTTGCCGCAGGGTCGCAGGAGTTGCGAAGGATTCCAATGGTACCATCGGCCTCCGATTGGTACATCATCTTGATGGAAAACTTGGTGACCCAGCTGGGATAGAGCTCAAGATCTTTTGCGCCACCAGCACCTACCATTCTCTGGGTTATCTCGGTGGGAGCAACGCCAGGATGGGCAACTAGGGCCTTTACGCTGGAGCCTGCCTCCTGCAAGCGCTTGTGGAGAGCATACGTGAAGGCCACGTTTGCAAGCTTTGTCTGCTGGTATCGCACGAAGTTCGCACCCCGCATGACTGTGTTGCTGTCTCCACCCAAGTTTCCACCGTTCTTCAGCAGGTACTTCTCCTCTAGCTTGTTCGAGAACTCCGGGCCGTTCATAACCCGAGCACAGCTCGAGTGATTCACCACGCGCGCCTCACCATGCAGAGATGCCGCCTTGTCAAGCAGCGGCAAGCAGAGGTAGGTCAGGAGGAAGTGGGACAAGTGGTTTGTCTGCATCTGGATATCACAGCCATCCTCTGTAGCCTTGTCTCCGAAACCCATGATGCCTGCGTTGTTGCACAGAACGTCAATGCCGCTTTCCCGAAACTCTGCTTGTAACTTCTCGCCAGCAGCGTGCACACTTTTGAAGCTTGTGAGGTCACACGGGATGGCAGACGGCACTGGTGCACCTGCTGCTTTCGCTACTTCAGTGATGTCCTTCAACGCCTCTGCGGCCCGCGCGGATTCTCGATTCAGAAGAACAACCTTGGCACCTTTCCTGGCGCACACCTGTGCAAAGATCTTGCCTGTGCCTGAGGTGCAACCCGTCACTGCTACCACCTTGCCCGCCATGCTCGGCAAGCCTGCCACCACACGATCAAAGCGCCGTTTCCCCCCAAAACAGGCCATGGCGCGAGAATTCTACGTCTATCTTCTACGACTAGCCTTACACTTGAGCCGAAGGAATTCTTCGCGGTTTCGATCTGAATCCTGCACCACAGGCTCACAAGCGTGAGAAGCTGTGACTTGGCCGCCTGGAAGTCGCCGGCATCCTGGTGGCGCTTCGCCGCCTTGGCCACCTGCACGTCTGATTTCTGGCCTCTTTGGAGGATCCTTTTTCAAACCAAAACTGGGAAGGCAATCGGTGTAGAGATGCTGTCCTCGCGCCTTCGATGCTTGTTCCTCCGCCGACACCGGGCCCTTGTGCTGCAACACAACCTCGGCACATCTCACACGTAAACATGTGCTTAGAGAGTTGAGTGGAGTGGAGTGACGGCACCTCTAGCAACGGGATCTGTCCGCCTTGGCCCTGCATTTACATGTGCTGCGCCATGCCAGAAGCCCGACCTGGGACAACGTTGTTCCGAGTCCCGAGTCATGCACGGAGCCAACGATGAAGATGACCAGCCAAATCCTCCAATCCCATGCAAGCAATACCTGGTCAGATCATGGCTAATCATGGCCAGCTCCCACGAGAAGACCAAGAGAGTCTCGCGTCAAATTCGATTTGTACCATACTATTTCGCAACGGCTCAACCCCTCAGTCAACTGCCTGGCCGACTGCGGCGATGCTAGCTGGAAGCGCAAAGGCCAGCAGCGTCATGCTACCGTGTGATGAACACAATCAAGGCCCAAGTATTTGGCTGCTGGACTTTCAACGTCTTAGAACCCATGAATCACCTCCCTTCGTATTCTTGGTCGAGTCTGGTGAAGTGCATGCTGCTCTCCTCCCGTGCCAGTGGTCTCGACTTCAACCAAGGATCATGTGCATGCTGTTATGGCAAATGTTCGTGCAGCTACTGCGTGCTCGAATCCGACTCGTTCCCTTGGCTTGAGCTCTGTGAACTTCGTTACGGCCTCAACAGGAAAGTCTGATACAATGCTAGCAGTCGCGCATCCTTGTTTGCGGAAGCAGGGCTTGCTGCGGGTCCCCTGCCCTGTTCGCAAGGATCTGCTGTGGATCCACAATTGCAAATTAACAATAGAGGCAGTGACACTTTGCAGCCTGTACAGCTGTGAGCACGAAGCCCTTGTCATGCCGTTGCCGATCACTTGCTGGCAGGTCTAGGCAGCCTTTGCTTTGCTTCCGCCAGGGCTTCCGCCAGGCTGCGTGCTTCACGGGGACAGGATCCTTCCGATGAACGTCGAGAGCTGCATCATGCTGCATCCAAACATGGCAGGAGCGAATGCAAACATCGGTCAGATCCCATTCAAGATTGCAAGTATGTGCAGCAGAGTGCTCCGAGTCGATGGATTCACCCATCGCTGGTCCTGTTGGGACCGTTGGCAGCACGATGCTTCTTCGCAATGCCGTTACGCCCGAAAGCCTCAGGGACTTGCTCCAAGATGAGAGTAGACGTATGTGTGCTCAGCAGGCCTTCTCGCGTCTGTGTGCTCCGTCGGTGCGAGCGACTGCCGTCGCAAGGATCCTGGCAAGACCGCGAGAAGTTGTGTCCCCTTTCGGGGAGCGTGTGGGGGAGGGCCAGGGCATGCCAGGGCAGTGCCTGACAGAGCCGTGGAGCTCCGGGCTGGGAGCTCAGTCATCTCCACGTTGCGAGAACTTGCCTCACGGCATTATCAGCTCAAGGCCACAGAGTCTTACTCTCTCCGCGCCTCCGGCACAGCAGGCAGCACATGGGCCGCCACCAATTGTGCGCGAATGGAAGGCTCAAGCGCTGCGAAGGTGAGGATGCCCCTCCCGTTGCTGCCCGTTGAGCAACCGACAAGACATCGCGATGCAAAGTGCAGGCTCTGCTCGGGTGGCCTTGATTCCTCGGCTTGCTCCTCGGCACACAGCTGCGCGAATTCCAAGGTGGCCTTCCTCGGTCAAAAGCATGGTGCGAGCAGCTCAAAGGAATTATATGGGAGCGCCGAAGTCTGACCCGCCAATGCCGCAATATCAGCTGAGCAGCGTGTCTAATCCACGCACTTTCTCCTTGGAAGGTCCAGCTGCAGCTTCAGGTGGACAGGATATGCACACAAGCCACCGGCACAGGCCTGCATGAACCAACAGGGAAGGATCTCGAGTTCCCACGGTGCGCACAGTATTCTAGTCTCCAGTCCCAGCCTCCCAGTCGAGAATGACCTCGCTGGACTCCGAAAGCGCACGGCGGATGGTGGCAACGATGCCTGCATTCGCTGAACTAAGTTTGGCTTTTCCGGAGTCATGCTTAGCTGCAAAGGAATGAAGGTACTTGGGAAGACCTGCCAAAGATTCCTATCTTAAAGCATGCGAGAACTTTGCCATGTGATGCGAAACCTGTTTGCATAAGCTGTTTGTGCAACCTTCTTGTCGCTAGACCTTCTTCATCAGTCTAGAAACAGCGATGCAAGAAGCGCTACTTGACTATTGTACTACTTGCATGCTTCGCATCTTACCGCAAGCTGTTGCCACTTTTGCCTGGTGCTGTGGCAAAGAACATGTAGTTTGGCAGCTCGACAACGGTCACGTCTCCTTCCTCACAGAAGCCGGGGCCCCGGAAACTGTTGCCAGTAGCATCTGCAGCCTTCCACGTCCACCCAAGTCAAGGCAAGTGGCTGTCTTTGTTGAGAGCTGCTCCAATGCCCGGGTGAAGTTCCGAATCGCGTCTGCAAAGGCAAGAAACATGCCCGCAAGCAGTCCTTGGAACTTCGGTTGTTGAACACCTTATTCCGACTGGACAGCACGGTCATGATCTTCAGCCTGTTTGCCTGCTTTGGATCTTCATGTCTTGCCCTGCTGCCGAGACGCCAGCCTGAACTTGACCGCCGCAAACTAAGGTCACCAACGAAGCAATGCAAACCTGAGACTTGCTTAGCTGATTTCTGGGGCACATCCGATGACCTGCAGGGCAGCTTACAAGGGATAAACTGGAAAGAGAGATACCAGTTGAGAATGCTTTAAATCGCGGCACAGTGTATCAAAACCTTACAACCATTGGCGCACATGTTACCATGTCGGTGGTAGAATTAGGATGTGAATCTGACCTTAAGCAGCTTTATTCTCCCTTTTTCTCCAAGCAGCCACTGCAAATTCTGTTCTCGTCAGCAGCGCATAGCCCTGGCGCTTAGTTTCGCACACAACTCTGTGCGCACTCCCAGACCGTGTTCTACGGTACAGCTAAACTGTGCAGCGGCACCTGCACGAAGCCGGCTACAAGCAGCTCCGCCGAGGCCAACAGCACTATGGTACCGTTCACGAAACGTGGAACGTATGGTAGGCTGTTCTTCCTGAGTCTCGCTCTGCCACCTTGTACATTGTACGGTCAAGGGACCTTTACAGATTTTCGGGATGCCGCTCGCCGGGACAATATATGCCGAAGAAAACCCCAGGGCTGCGCATATCACGAAAACGTTTGAAACACCCGTGCAGTCTTGCCAAATCACAATCCCATTCTTTGCTGCGCCGAGTTGCGGTATGTCCACGCAAAGCACACATCTAGGTTCGGGGATTGATGTCGGTCGCAACACATGAATTAACAAGAGCCAAGGCACAAGGCTGTAGTCACAACATGTGCCCACATACTCAATCGGAATCGGCCTCACAGCTTAAGTTGAAACCCTTGGCAAATTGCACTGGTCTGCGAGCGTGGAAAGCTGCTGTCCAACTCCCAGGCTGCGGCCTCCCACCATGCGGTGTACCTAAGTACTGTGAGGGCTGCCGTCGTTCCCAAGGCCAGCCCATGAGCCCAAAAAGTGCAGAACTATAACTATGGCGAGAGCACGAGTTTCCAGGCGGTAATACGAGTCGCGGCCAAATGCGCTGTGGCGGGCGCATGATGATTTCGGAAGGCGGACATATACGGCTGTGGCTGGAACAGGATGTGCATCCCAAATTGCGCACAATGTCGAGTTCGGAAAGTCCGGCCCAGGTGTTACAAAATTCATTCAACGGCAGGATGTCGAGAGCACACCAAGGAGGTGCGAAGAGGCCGTGCTAGGACTGTAGATTCTGTAGATGCTTCGAGCGCCAGCAAAAAGAGCACCGGACTGGGTGGAAGCTCGATTCCCAAGGACACCACTACGCACGGGCCTACGACAACAGCGTGACTCATCAAGTTGGCCATCGCCAAAGCGCATGAATTTACAATGACTCGGGCGCGACTCCAGCGGGACTGTGGTAAGACTGCGATTTTATTAGGCCGAAAGAACATGAACATGAGCGGAAGCCAGAGAACCGCCATGCATGCCAGCTGGGCACACCTCGGGACAAAGGAGCCAAATCCCATCTGCCCTTAAGAGGCCCGTCGGGCCGGAGTGTGTTACATGCTGCCTGGGGAAGTCAGGAAAATGCCTCAACTTTGCTAACTGCTCGTCAAACGTGCTTGATTCTCAGTTTCTCCGCAAGGGTCCGTCCAATATCCCGTAGACATGGCAGCAATCTGTGGCAATGATTGCAAAGTCTCCCGGCGGGGCCGATGAATTGCAGCAAGGTGCTAATGTATCATCATTCCCGAAGTCCGAAGCAAAGCCCAGCGCCAGGCCACCGATAATGTGAGACCGGCCTCCAAAGGCAAAGGCAAAGGCGCGTGCACGCAGAATGTGCTACTGGTAGCTTGATTTGGGCGCAGCATGGGACTGTTGGTCTGGTACCGAGGCTACTCACATCCCGTGGCATCTGGGATCTTGTCATCTGCCGGACATGTTGCAGCCCGCCAACCTTGAGCGATCATCTCCTTAGTCGTACCGTTGAGTGGTACTTGCGATACAGTAGCCAGCGTTGGCCTACGAAGTGGCGAGCTATGACACATGCTCGGCTCAGAAGACAAAGCTTGCAGCGACGGCACTTCCGGCCACACAAAAAACACTGTCCGTTGTCAAGTCTGCGCACACTCCTTTCCGACAGTTTTGTCCATACACTCACCCAAGTGGCATAGTCAAACGTGGATGCACCCATCACCTGGGCAAACGCATGTCTTGAAGGCTGATCTGCTGACCAACAGGACTCGTCTTCTGGATGGCTTGCTACTCTTCCTGGCTTTGAGCAGCCCGGGCCTTTGGCGGAAGTAGGCTGGCGGTGACCGCAAGCTGGCAGGCAATGTTCACTATGGAGATGATGAAAGCACTCAGCAAGATCTTCGCCATGTTGGAGAACCTGTCCAACAAGGCGCGAGAGTGGTAGTTTTGTAGCAGCTTTGGTCGCAAGGAAGAGCCGAGTGGCACAGAGGACCAAACAATATCCTTCCCCGCGAGCTCGTAAAGCTTCCTCGGGCTGAAGGCGACTCAGACTGTCCAACAGGTGTGCCTGAACAAACACGTGACCAAAGCCAAGCAGCGACAGTGGGAAATACTCTGTCTGAGGATAAAGCCACTGACTGTCTTGAGCGGCCTGCGTGCTGCAGGAATGGTCTGCAAGCACAAGCAGCCCGAACAAGGCAGGACAGAAAACTGCGGTGCAGACTGGCGTGGCCTGCAAGGAGGTACCCAGACACAATCGAAGCCCATGGAAAAGAGCGATTGCCGAGAACGTGTAAACAGCGATCGTGAAGGGCGAGTCTTTCCTTCAAATATCTTCCAATCCATGCGGAACAGCAGCTGGAAATGAACAAGCAAAGTCAACTTGAGTTCAGCTAGATTGACGGAAGCACGCTTCTGCTGACAGAGTCATCGGATAACTCAGGCCAAGATGCACATATTTTGTAAAGAAGTAGATGGCCAAGGCAGAAAGCATGGATGGCGTCCACAGCATCAGGATAGATGGGTCGATGACAAGCGATCCCAACGCCTCCTTAGTGCACAAGCCGAGTGGGGACATCGGCGGCCTCTCCGGCTAAACTGCAGACAAGAAACCGGCTCGGTTGCGAAGTCGGTCCTTACATGCCACGTCGCTTGGGTGTGTCATGTTGGAACCCAATTTGCTGCGTAGGCGAAACCACAGATCCAGGCAAGCAGTCTGTTCATGGCAGAAGTTCAGAACGCTCTCTAACGGTGTATCCAGACAAGCATATCCTGGCAAGTGTGCCTGCATAGACAAAGGTATTCGCCGCAACAGTGAGTGAAGAAACCAACGACGCTGTTGAACTCTCTGTCTCTCTACATGATTTATGTGCACATGCAGGTCTGTATGTACGTGTGGGATACATGCTCAGACATACCTGCCTACCCACCTACCTACCTACCTACCTACCTACCTACCTACCTACCTACCTACCTACCTACCTTGCCTACCTACCTACTTGCCAACCACCGACCTCCCTCCCTGCCGGCCTGCCGGCGTGGATGTATGTGTGTCCGTTCGTATACATGTATGCATGTACGTACATATTTTTATTTGTGTATAATAACTATATACAGATACATATGTATACTCACATGTACGAAGGCGTATATACATATATATAGATGTGTGTGTACATAAAACAAGTTATGTGTATATATATATATGTATATATACACATACATACATAAACACACACACACATACATACATACATACATACATACATACATACATACCATTACCTACTTACCCACCTACGTATGTACGTACGTACAGATACACATTTTTAGCACTCGCACTCGACGCGTACAGATACACATACACATACACATACATATACATATACATATACATACATTTATATATATATACACATACATAAACATACATGCATGCATACATACATACATGCCTAAGTACGTGCATATACATATATGTATATGTATATATACATATATGTATATATATATATATCACTACGTCACTACGTACACACACACATGTGCTCGCCGCACACAGCCCTGAATCACAGGGTTCTGCTGCCCAAGACGCAAGATGTCGACCCCACAGCTTGCCTCAATGCCCAGACCAAAGAGGACCAAGCCCAGCATAGCCTGCGCAGCAACTGACTCGCAACTCGACCATGAAACATGAACTCATAAGAATGTCGAGGTGCAAAAACTGCAGAAGCATGCACGGACGCACACACACACATACATATATATATATATGTATGTATGTATGTATGTATGTATGTATGTATGTATGATCTATACACAAGTGCACACACGCAGCACATCGCAGCACCATATTACTTGCGTACATATATCCATCCATCCATCCATCGGTCCATCCATCCATCCATCCATCCATCTGACAGATATACGTATGTGGTGTATGTTCTGTGGACTGAGGATATCACGGAGTGATATGGACAAAGAGTCAGTGAGGGCTCGTAGTTTCGGACTCTGGTTCCGTCTACTCGGATTTCTGCGGCTGGAGACTAGATGAACGAGGATGCCTGCACGGACACCTCCACCGAGTACGGAATGAAGCGCAAAGCGGTGCCCACTTGCGAAAGACCGATTGCATACATAGCGAAGCCTTGACAGCTCGTGAGCCCAAACAGAAACGATGTGCAAATGCTACATGCAGTGGCGCAGTGGCACATGAAGCTCGTTGAATAGTGCAATCCCGGCCAAGTGTCAAGCAGCAAGCAGTATCAAGCTTGTCAGTCTTCTCACATGAGTCCACGTGAGTGCCTGCCCAAACGAGCCGAGGTCCCCGCCGGACAACATGGTGGCACAGCTGGAGCACAGCACCGTCGAGGCAAGGACTGCCTCCTCAGGAGCGCTGAGAGCTCACGATGTACGTGTGCCGAAGTCTTCCAAGGTGTCGGGTTTCGCGCAACATCGCCCAACCAAGGCTCAAAGTCTGTCGGCGCCATCAAGGAGATTCGTTCCTGGCCATCAGGAGCATCGCATTGCCTACTTGATGGCTGCAGGAGCTGAGTTTGATCTCCGAAGCTAAATCTGCTCCGCCCCATTGCCTGCATTGCCTTGACCAAGGGGAGAACTTCGATACCTGAGCCAGAAAAGCTTAGAGCTTTAAACAATCAAACTCGCTGATTGCTTGGGCCCTCGTCAGTTGTTCAACGCCACTAAGGAACTCCTGTGGTCCTGACATGTCCTGAGGCTTGCTTGTGCCTGAAAATCTCCGAGCTGCTTGGAGTGCAGAGCGGCGTTTCCTTAAGCACACGTGTGCGGTCCAGGGGCAAGGGATGATTATGCCCGTAACCTGGAACAAAGCCACGTGCAAGACTGTCTGACTCGAAAACTCAAGCATTGAGCATTGAGGGAGCTCCGACTTGCTGAAACCTCTTGCTATGTCAAATCTCGTGGTGTGTGGATTTTCTCTTGCTGCGCAAAACCTCTTGCCAGAAGCCTCTTGTTATGCAAGCAGCTTGCTATTTCTCAAACCTTTTGCCATGTGAAGCCTCCTGCCAGATGGCAAATGCTTGAAAACTCGCATTGCAGGCATCCTTTGTGCGACATCTAGCAGAAGAACTGCTTGAAGCTCTGGCTGGTGAAGACATCGGAGCTGGAGCATCCGTGTCGAGGGGGTTCTGCCCACAACTGACCCGCCGTTTCTGTTTCCACCGCCGCGACGCTCCGGTCGATTGAGACTCCGTCAACCACTGTGACGTGGAAGGTGTCTGACACGCCTGCCCCGCTGTGACGCAAAGGATCCAAGAGTGTGGAAGCGGTAGCTGGTGTGTGCGGAACCCTCGAAACTCGCGGGTTGGGGACTGCATCAAAGCTCCTGATAAGTTTGGGGGATCTGGCAACTTCACGATCTCCGCCACTTGACTTCGTGATCTTTGCTTCGATAAACTGACCACATCCAGTAAAACGGGATTGTTCTGGCATGCTGTGAGAAACCCATGCCCATTTGGAATTGTGGAACCCTCCATGAGGTCAAAAGCCTGAGCTACAAGAGACGGACTCTGCAACATCTTGCAACCCTGTGCCATGCAAGGACGTACTTCAATGTCGGATGCCTTGGCCAAAACGGCAACTTCAACGAATGACATCTCGCAACTTTTCTCAAGCAGCTGAGGGTGTGGACAATGCGGCCTACATGCCGGCCTCTTGGAGTACTGCGAAGATCTTGCAGTTGTTGGTTTATGCTTACCCAACATTCCTTGCCCACCGTGTCTGGCGTTCTAGATTTCACTCACCACAATTCAAACTCTCATTTTCGCCGAGTCCAGTACGAAAGATATATAGGGCTGGTATCTACGAGGGTTTCGGATCGAGCGGAGGAGGTAGGTCCCTGCATAGCCGGTAACCCCAGTGCCGCCATAACAACGGCACGTCGATCTCCCGCTTGGCACAGATCTCTGCGCCGAAAGCGACATCAGGCCCGACTTCGGGTCCGATTTCAACGCTCGTCCGGACGAGTTCCCTGGGAACGGGATCTGGCTCTCTTCGAGAGTCACCACTCTCAGCCTCACTTTCGTGAGCGTATGGGTTGGAAGAATAAGAACCCAGCTACAAGGCCATGGAGGGCAAATCAAGATGGTGGGGGTGCAAGTGCACATACCGCCCGCTGGCAAATTTGGCCTGGCTCATGGTCTTCGCCACGTTCGCAGGCCAAGGCCAAAGCTGGGCCGCCCGCCCGGTACGACCAGGTACAAGTGCAGAACAATACCCCACATGCGGATCGTCGAGCTCCAGGTGGTCCACCTGGTTTGGCAGAGGGGCGAGATGGCCTCATGCAAGGTGTGCAAAAAGCACTTACAGCCTCCAAACGGTGCGACACCAAGATTCGTCGACTCTTGGAGACCAAGGAGTTACGACAGGCCCAATGGGTGCAGTGGCGCCAGCAGACAGTGGCCAACTTCATGAAGCAGAAACGGTTGTACGAAGCAGACCTCGCACGTATCGACGAGGAGGTGGCAGCCCTACAGACACAAGGAGAAGAGGCTGCCAGACAGATGACAGAGTTGGTGGTACATGGACCACCGGCCATGGAGACCGCAGGTCCCACCGTGGACGAAGAGGAGGCCTGGGGAGCTGCCCTCGAGCAGGCGAATGTGGATCCACCAATGATGGACTTCATGCGACAGGCCTATGCTGCCGCACAAGCTGCTGCACAAGCCGCAAGGCAGCAGCACACCGAAGGACAGCAGAGAACGGGTCAGCATGGCCTTGGAATCATGCCTGCCCAGATGATGGAGCTCCTTGTTGGATGCCCGCCTCTGACGCAACATGTACCTCCACCAGCTCCGCCTGCACCTCCTACGAGTCACCCACCAATGGCGGCAACAGAGACCAGACCACTGGAGCCGACTTCACATGGACCCCCTCCGCCAATGGTCCCTACAGATGCTGCTGCTCTTGGCACTACGGTTCCACAGGGTTATGCGGCGATTTCTCCCAGCCAGCAGCGCATTCGGGCAGAGCCGTATCCGCCTGCATCCCCGCTACCGAATCTGCCGAGCAGGCCCGAGGAGAACAGAGCTCCAGCGCCGGTGCCGGAAGGACCTGTCCCTCCAGACACTGGCAGTGGTGGGCTCCCTCAGCGAGATGGTGTCAAGGATGCAAGCAAGCATCCGCCCGCGAAAGTTGCTCCCACCGGGCCCAGTTTGGGCCAGAAGCTCGAAGCCAAGAGAGAAGCGGCAAGAGGAACTGCTCTGCAACCCTTCAGGAAGAATTTGAGTACAACTGCCGAGCCCGTTGCCGAAGTGGATGCCAATACTGGAGAGCCCCCTGGGCACGCTCTAGAAGATATACAAGATGTGGACGAGGAATTGGACGGCGCCTCACCGGGATTTGCCAATCTGGAGTGACCCTTTGGCGTAGATGGATCTCCCGGAGACAAATGTGCCGCGACGGTTGGGCTGACAGACTAGCGGAGCCACAGAGGTTCTCTACCCGATTTGGGTTGGGTACTTCAACGTCGTCCGTTGGTCAATGTCTTCTCAACTGTTGCTGCGCATGTGTCGTCCGTGGAGCTCCATGGTCTCACTTCCTGTACAGGACAGACCAGTCTGTATATGTTTGGCCACTCCCATGCCACAGCCTGCCTTCATGTCACGGGCACTTCGGCAGTATTCTCTCTTCTTGTTCTCTCTCTGTCCCCTGGATTTCTATGTCCTTGGTTAGCACATGTACGCCATGGGTTTTTGCTACATGGGCCTTCAACCGTTTTCCCACACTTGCGACTCACACGAGTGCATCCTGCAAAGCCGTCTTCCAAGGTGACGACAGGCACAGGCTTCAGTGTTCGAGACCTTCAGCGCCCCAGCTGGATGTGCACCATGTTGTGCTTTCCCAGACGCCAGCTTCCAAGGTTGGTCTTCTTTTTAAGCGTACTATACGATGCCCGCCTTTCCTCGCCCTCGGCGGCCCCTCGAGTGCTCAGTGCAATCGCGCCTCTACTTTGGGCTGCGTCACTGTTCGTTATGTCACAAGCCCCACTGGGGCGCCGAATCGTCGCCATGCTGGCGATCTTGCTTTGACAGTGGACCAGGCGCCAAACAAACACATCGGTGGCTCTGGGGTGTTGGCCTCGGTCTTCTGTCTTTTGCAAATTCCTTCAGGGCGTGGGGAGGATGATTTCTGTGTTTGGTCAGATGCTTGGGATTCTTTTCTGGATATTGCCAATCGGTTTGTTATCCCTTGCGCACTGACCCTTCTTCTATGCCTCCTCTTATGCCTTATGCACCTGTGGATCATCGGATGGCGTGCACGCCCGACCCCACTTGGAAGAGTTTGTGGTTATTTAGTGCAGCGTGTTCCAGCCAGATGTGCTCTGTGCTGGAGGCTTTCGCCGTCGCAAGAGCCTCTCCTCGATTGGCGACCACATTCCAAAGAAAAACGGGCTCGTTTGAGGCAATGCAATACTCTTGGTATGCATCGAGGCTTCTTCAGCTCAATACTGTGCAGCTGCGTGTGGTGGCAACTTCCTGTTCTTGTTTGGGCTGCTCCCAAAGACTTGAGGGCACTGCAAGAGGTCGCTGAGGCTGTAAGTCTGGTTGGGCTTTCGCACTCTTTTCAGGTTCCTGAGGAACTCGATGTACCACCTGGTGTGCCGCGTCGCACTGTTCCTGACTTTGTGGACCTTAGTTTGCAACGCCCTGCCGGCCCGCCTCCACCACAGCCCATGTGTTTTACGATTGATAATGCGACACAACATACCCAGCCCGCACGGACGGTCGAGGTGCCTTTTCCTGCATGGGTTGCCACAGTGGGACAACAGCCGGTTGCGTTGCAGTTGCAGATTGGCATCCCATGCGACATTGAGGATGCCGTTGACCTTGTTGAAAGGTCGCCTCTCATCGGAAGCAACCCCTGTTGTGATCGTGTCATCGCTGTGAGGCCGCAACCATTCCCAACCTGTGCCGCATTTGTCCGTGCACCGGATTGGCTCTCTTATTCGTCACTCTCCCTTGCGTGCCTAGATCTCAGAGATGCGGTTCCTGACAGTGTGGGGCCTGTCATAGCTGCTTATGTCACCAGGCCCACCAGCCTTGCAGAGTTACAAAGGGAGGCAGGTGCCTATGGCACATCTGGCGCCAAGGTTTTTGTAGGGACGGATGTTGTTCCCTTGCAGGAAGACGAGTCCATCGTTCTCTCCAACGGCATCATGGTTACCTTCATGTGTACCGATCGCTGCCCCTACCCTGCCAACGATTTGCAGTACCGTTTGCAGTTTCCTGACATCTGGTCGATGCCTGCAGTGTTTCCCAAGCGGTCTGAGACGCGAGCATCGCTCCTCTTGCTGCATGCCTCAGGGCGATACCTTTTAGGGTCCAGGCCAACTGATGTCTCGGCTGATGTTGCAGCGGCTAGGTTTGTTGGGGTTGACAGGAACACCGTGAACTTCCACACCCCGAGAGGTAGTAGCCTGCGGGACTTTCTGTACAAAGGTGCAGAGGTCCGGGGAGTTATTGCCATTACGGAGGCGGCTGCAGATGCTGGTATCGTTGTCTTTTTGGACCTCCGGCAGCTTGCAGAGGGTATCAGCTTCGTTACCCTGGATAGACCA